CATTAAAACGCAACAATATAGAAACATTACACATAAAATTCCCAATCCATACCCTATAAAATCATAAACTATATGTTTCTAACTAGCACCTGTCAGCATTCAATTCCAATCAGCCTGACCTTTGACCCCTTTTCCAATGCCAACCAAAATGCTGCATATTTGCATGATGTGATGGTCATTCTATTACATATTAATAAACACTAATGGGTGTATGAATTTTCCATAAAAGATTCCATCTGGTCACCATTATAATTAATTATTCAGCACAGAAGATGGACCAAAATCTTCACAAATGTCACGGATGCTCAGTTTTACACTGAACTGGTGTCTCTTCTCCTCTACGTGCTTGTGTTCTGGTCCCTCTGTGTCTGAACTCTCCCTGTGGACAAAGGACCTCCACTGCAGGTTGTAATTGGTTGGATCACCTCGAGATTCGTATCCAATTGTCGCATCTACATCATGACAGCTGCGCCTAAAGACAAACCATCCTCGTGCGTAAAATGTGCAGAAGACGTGATCCAAAAAAAAAAATAATAATAATAATGAGAAAAAGCAGGACAAAATACCAAATTTGGCTACATCTATCCACAAAAATCTGCAAAATGCATATGCAGAAAACTTATGTTTAGGTTTGTCTTGAAGTTATTTCTAATGGAAAATGACATTTTAACCTTTTAACCCGAATCCAACTTCCACAACAACCATCGTAATGCTTTTAAACGTTTAGATATTGAAAACAAACGTTAAACTTCCGTATTTTAATCCTGAAATTTAAGCCTCTAGTAAAATTTGTTCTTACCATATGAGAGTTCCGTCTTCTTCCGTGTGTTGACCAGCTTTGTATCCCTTTCTTCGCTCGTGTTCATGCGGTCCTGCCTGTGTGGTTTTCACTCGCCGGGGTTCTGATTGACAGAAAGGAAACCCAATAAGATGACGTGTTGATGCTTTTTAACCAATCAGCGTGTAGCATAGGCGGGACAAATTGTAAAACCATTCTTCTTAAAAACATTCCAAAAACTCATCTACACACCAAATGACTTAAAATGTTAGTTTTCCCCACAAAAGTTTGCTAATTTTGGCTTTTTAATATAAACACTACACATGTTTTGTGCAGATAAAAAAAAAAAAAAACTGTACAGCCTCTTTCCTACCAACTTGTATGCATTCAGACAAATGCTAATAATTTTGTGT